TAGCGATAATTAAAACTAATCAATTGAACGAGCGGACAAATAATAAATCCCGAATTATTTTGCTCCAAATGTTTCGCAATTTGAAAAAGAATCAGGTGAGTTACGACGTAAAGAAGAAGAAGAAGAAGAAGGAAAAAAAAAACAACTCACATTTGCTAATTAATAAAATGATCTTAAGATTATTTCAATCGACGATAATTAAAATGGTATCGTTATCATTGGAAGATTACTTCTGTTTCCATAAGGCCTTATACTCAGAGATAACGACGACGTCGCTATTTTTCCTCTTTTTTTCTGTTTATTGTGCTTCGGAAGTTTGTTCTGAGAAGTCCAACTTTGTTATCTCTTCAATGAGAGAAAGTGAAGAGAATGCCCTTAGGGTTTTGCAGCACACTCCAGATATTAGATTAGCAATCACGTTTTACGATTTCAATTGTTTGAGTAGCATTGAAATATTATTTACATTTCTTCTCTTGTTTCTTTCCGTTTATATAACACGTTCGGAGTGATTTCGTGACATTATTCTTCGTTCGTCACGCGACAACTCCAAAAAAAAAAAAGATTTGTGAATGAAAAATGATGACCCTTTTCTTATTTACGGAGCGCGAAGATAAATGGTAAACGACCTCAAAATGATAGATAAATAAATCTCGAATAATAATTTTATCTCTGTGTGAATATTTATTGTTTACGAGAGTGAAATTCCCATTCGATAATATCGATTTCTACGAGATAAGAAAAAAAAAGTGTAAATAGTAATATTTTTAATGTTGTAAAACGTTAACTTACGTGTTATAAAAGACGTAAGAATGACGTAATTTTGCGAATAATTTTAATTTTTGGAAAAGAAAGATGCGGACACACCTCGGCGCATGCTCTCATTGTTTCCGGAGTGGCCGAGATGGGATTCTGCTATTTTCCTCAGACGTCACACATTCGCATCCGTAGCGAGTGTCATCGCAGCTTCCAATGGTAAGTGCTTTTATAAAAGGGGTATTAGCTTACGAAACGATATTTTTGTACAATATTCTTACTCTAGATACCGAATAGTGGGAAGAAAAAAAAAATTAGAAAAGCGCACCTAATACGTATCTTAATATTTACGTTAATATATTTTTATATAAGTCAATGTCTTTCTTTAAAAATTTTTTTTTAAAGCTTCCTTTCGTCATTATGGCCTACCGTTTTCGTTTATTTCCATTCTTTGTATCGTCAAACCGCAAATGTTTGTGCCGAATTCTTTTCCGCATCAGTTGGCAGAAAAGATAAAAGTGAATGTCGTTTATGTAAAATATTTTTCGAATAAGATATCTTTAAGTAAAATTTCTCAGGTTTAAATCTTAAATTATTCTTCTAGTAAAATATATTTTTAACAATTTTTAAAGCGAAACGGGATTATATAAATGACAAAAACGCAATCGTTCTGGTTATTTGAGATAAAGGATTTCTTTTTTTTAAACTTATCTTTTGATAAATCTTAATGATTTTTTTTCTTTCTTTCTTTCAGTCGAATATAAAAAGAAATCAATGAAAATAACTAATAAATTCGTGTTTTTAAAAGTAAAAATAGCGATTTATCCATACGAAAATACAGTATTTTAATTACGAGATGAAATATTTCATATTTGATGACTTTCAAAACGTAATAAATTTGAGAATTCTTCATTAAATTGAATTACGTTCCGGAAAATTATCATTGATCATAAAAATTGATATTCTAAATCATTTAAAGCGCAACAAAATTTATTAACAATAATTTTAGAAAAGATGGCGAAGAGAATTAAAATGAGTTCAACTAAACTTTTGGCTTCTAAAATAAATAAATAAATAAAAATGAAAATAAATATTCTCTCTCTCTCTCCAGATATGGAAAAGGTAAAATAGTGAATATATTTAGATATATTTTTAGAAGATAAGGAATATATTTATGAAAATTTAAAGAGGAAAAAACTTAGAAAAGAGGGGAAAAAATGAAAGGTATCTCCTCCATTTTTGACAGATAAGAAGAGCATCATCAATAACAGATTAGGTTATTGTAAAATGCCATTTAAAGAAAGCCCTTCTACCGATACTTTCACAAAGAATGACAAACGATCATTTTAGTGACCGTTGCCACCAGATGGTATTCAAACTGTTACTTAATATTTCCCTTCATAAAGTGCTCTTTCTAACTTACAACAATATGGACTTTCTTGCTCGATAATTCCTAAACTTCTCTTTAAAAATAGCATTTAGTTTCCGTGTCTCGCATATATTTTACTCAAATCCTTATAAATTTATACCGTATCCGGTATAAAATTCCATATTTTAAGAAAAGAAAGTAAGTTGCCAAACTAATTTTATATATATATATAGGACTATACATATTTGGAAATATTTTGTCTCGATTTTTTTTTTTTCGGGATTCTTTTTACAATATTCCATCTTTTTTCGGTAGGAAATTGTGGAACAGATGATCCTCGGAGACATCTGACAGTCACACAAATAGAAAATGGAAGACGATTTTTGTTGCCTTGACAACATCTGATGACAATCTTTGAAATTTATATATATATATATATATATATTTTTTAAAAAAAGCAATTTTTCTTTCTCAATTTTTGTTTTTGCATAATAAGAGATAATGGAAGGTCTTCATTCAAACCAAACAATAGATAAATATATAATTAAGATGATGCTATTTAATCTTTCTGACTTTTTATTCGAAGTAATTAGAAATTTTATTTCTTAATTCATCTTTTAAATTTCTTAACAATAGCATCTTTACATTAAAATATATATATATATAAATCTATTATTCTCCTAAAATGCATTTATTTATGTAAAAATAAACTTGCAATTTCATTTTTAAGATCGGAATATAAATTACTCTCACTTGGAAATAATTTTTTTTTTCTTCATTAAAATGCATCAAAATCATATTTTCTGTGGGATCAATTTAACTTTAAAATACGGAATAAATTCTTATAAAATTGTTTTATACAACTAAAAATTAAAAAAAAAATTATTTTTAACTATAAATTTAGATTTATAATCGAAAAATTGTTGTTTTAATTAGAAATATTTAAATAAATTTAAATTATAAATATACTTTTTCAAATTATTTTACATAGAAAGCGGGATTTTCAGGAACGATCGTGTTTAGACGTTATTCATCAGAAAATGAATGAAGATTCCTACAAGTGTTGGAGATACAAAATTCGAGTAAAGTGAATAATTAATCCCGATTCAGTTTTGTGGACATCGGTACAGAAGATTAATTACTGAAGATCTTTGCTTTGCGCTAATTATCAAATCACTTGCTAGAACTGCAGTTGACAGCTTCTTTGATGACTTTGGCTTAGGCCATACTCGACCCGATTATTGATAGCTTCGTTTCATAATTAACAGAAATAATCTCAAATCAGATATTTTTTTTTCAAATAAAAGAGGCAAAAATTCCATATTTTGAGGTGGTTTTAATCAAATATATTTTGCTAGAAATTCTATTAAAGAATATTTATGTATAAACAGAAATAAGTTTAAACCGAATGTATATATTTATATCCTTCGTATACTAAACTTATATGATTTATTCATAGAAAATAAATAAATATAAAGATTTCCTTATTAATATCTTTGAAATAATGAGGAATTTTAAATAATTATTCGTTAATTACGTTCGAATGTTACGATATTGAAACGAATTTAATGTGGTTACGATTGAGACGAAATTAATTTTATAATTAAAAATGAATTAGTAAACACGTCGAGAGAATCGTAACGACGAATTACCAAATTGGAACAAATGAATCGCCTACGAAAGTTTCTTTGTAAACTTTCTTGTCGCAGCGAAAGTTTTTAAGAAATAAATTAGAAAAAAAAAATCGTATCTAAATAAGAATTTTTACCGAGTTTTTATCGTGAAGCAACAGCGAATGTTGTTACGTTGGCAATAAAATTTGCAGCGAGGTGACGAACGTAATTCTGGGGAAAATATCACCTTGTTCGGATATTCTCGACAATGTTCTCTCCACTAAGGGTGTGTCGACGTCGTTTCCTACGACGTAACTGGCATGGCAGAGATGAGTTATTTCTTCTTATCCAGAGCAACTCACCCGTATAAATGTCTTCTTCCTCCGGGCTTTACTATATAGGTCCTTTCATTCTTTCGCTTTCTGTAGAAACTGTGTTACATTCCCATCATTTACCAAACTACTGCTATTATAGTTAGCTGTCAGTGACGTAACAAACCATCTTTGTTTCTTCCAGTGTAAAAACTTTCTTCTCTTCTGATATACTTATATTTTATTACCGTATAAATTTAACTGTTGATACATAAAAAAAATCCTGTTTTGATATTTATAATAAATTTAACTGAAATACACCTATATAAATCTCAAATAATTTTATGTCATTCTTTCCTTCCACGCTTCATTTTATCTTTGTTTCTCCTATAAATGTTATGACTAACGTTGGGAAGTTTCCGTTTCGAATTTCGAAATGTGATTCCTATTTCGTGGCATTAGAAAGTCACTTTTAGATGCTTCCCTTTGACCACTTCATCTATTCCATATAAATTTAAACGTAACTTAAAAATCAGATATGATAATTCAGGTAAAATCTCTATTGACATTTAATAATTTATAGTAGACGGATTAGAATTTTTCAATCTGTAGATCGCGAGCCACCTTCTTAAATAAGGCAGGATTTTTCTTTATAAAAAAATCCTGCCCTATAATAAATGGTTGTAAAAACATTGTACAAGGTGTTTACTTTTCTTATATCACTTTAATTCTTTAACAGTTTTAAAGTTTTCTTTAAAGAATTTATCTTAGAATGTTACATTCTCGAGGGTTTATTTTCTGGTAAACAAAAATTGGTTTTTAGTCGCTTAGCAACCGAAAGTCCGATAACTATTATCAGTTGCGTAAGACGGGGAGGGAGAATTAATAAAGAGAACACAACAAATTCCTAATGGTATCACCAGAGTTACCGTTACTTCCTATGGAATGTGACGAAGTGAAGATCGACCGCGAGAGTTAAGTGTAGCACATAAAGTAAAACATGGTAAATTCGCGTTAAAATTTTTAAATTAAATCCATAAAAATGTTCATATTTTTTATCATTTTTACATCGTAAAATAATTTTAGTTTTATTTTTTACAGTTTTTTTTTCTTTTTGGCATTTTTTAATATAAACTTATTTATCGAGAATTTTATGGTTGTTAAATTATTTATTACAGATGACCTTACGCATTAAATTCTTGTTGGTAGCTTTCGTGTTGTTGCATCAAGTACAGAATGTCGAGTTAAAGAATGTTTCGGAGCATTTTCGAGAGTATTTATGGACAACCGGTATTTGATAATTTTCAATAGTTTTTTAAAATACAATTAATTTTTACGGAAAGAATAAGAATTTGATACTTTTATTTAGGTCCTTGGGAGGAATGTTATAGCGAAACGAATTGTGGATACGGAGAAAGAAAGAGAAACGTGTGGTGCGTAGAAGTTAATGGTTATCAATCTCTAGAAAGAAAATGTGACAACGAAAAAAAGCCAGTGGAAAGAGAACTTTGTTTTAAAGTTTGCCAAAAATATAAAAATTCCGTCAGGTAAGTCTCTTATATACATTTATACGAGAAAAGTTATGAATTCCAGGTGCATTTCATATTAATTTTATCTCTCCAGTCTGTATCAATTGATTTAAATTTATCTGTATTTATTAATTTGCAATTAGAAAGAATTATCCACGAAATAAAATAGTAACTGTAAAGATTTGAGATAGTAATCAAGTAATTTTATAACAAATTTTAACTGTTATAGACGAAATATATACTTTAGAAATAATACAATGAGATAGCGTGAAAGCTAAAATGTTTAATCATTAAAATTTAATTAAGAGAAATTTAAAGAATAAACTTCTAAGAAAATATAAGAATTAGATTCTTTATCTCCATTGAAAATTATAGTTTATTATTTATGCATTATTAATTTATGTATTGAATAATTGATTTATGTGCATTGGTCTTGAAAATTCTTCGGTGTTAATAAAAAAAAAAATGTTTATAACTCATTTAAAAATGACAAAATTTATACGATTATTATTGTTAGTATTTATAATTAACAAAGAGTCGTTTATAAACTGAAAAGATGATTTCAAGTGGGCTAAAACGAAGAGTAAAATATAACATAAGTTAATTTAAAAATTACTTAGAATAATTAATAATTAGAATTATTATTTAAGAATTCATTTTTAGGTGGAAGATTGGAAAGTGGAGCGATTGTCTGTCGTCTAACAGCTCTAGATATTGCGAAGAGGGTCCAGGGAGGAAGACTAGAAAAGTGGTTTGCATTCACAAGAGTAGACACGAAGGAAAGTATCTAGGAACTCTTCCAGACGAAGTTTGTTCTTCTTTCTATCTAAAGCCAATAACAGAAAAAAGATGCATCACGAGATGCCCTCAAAACTGTGTTGTTTCGGCATTCGGAGAATGGTCAGAATGCAAAGTGTGTGGTTCGGTCAATCGCACTAGAATTAGGACTGTGTTGGTGGCTCCAGAAGAGGGAGGCCGATTTTGTCCTCCTCTGATTCAATCGGAACCATGCGAACACCGAAGAGAATGCTTAAAACAAGTAGGTTCCGATCGAGAATATTCTCTGAAATTAGGCAGATGGAGTGCCTGCCTTTCCAAGACAAGTGAAAACAGAAACTCTTCTTCAAATGTGCCGAGGGTAGGATTTAGAACAAGAAACGTATCTTGTATCGATGGCTTTGGACAGGACGTCCATTTGAGGTAAATTCTTATTAATCATTTTAATTGAATAAATTTTTAGAGTGGAAAGTGAACTTTATCCTGAATTAATTTAGAATACATCAAACAATTTTAATTCTAAAAATTTTGAAGCCTCTTAACACCCATGACGAAATTCAATGTTTTTCTAATATAGAAATGACTTTCTCAGAAAAGATTTTGTTACTTAAAATTTTGTTAAATTTGTTACTAAAGATCAGACTACTAAGTCAACGCTGTGATCAAAGTAATTGTTATATAGAAACTGATGGATTATTTACTATAAAGATGCATCGATATATCCAAATATTAAGTGTTTGCAGAAGAGTTACAATACAAATTTCCATTTTATTGCGCTGCAATTTGAAAAAATTTGTAGANTATTTATTTTAATTTTAGATAATGTATTTTAGTTTGTAAGCAAAAAAAAAATTTACAATATTTTACTTTTAGAAATTCTAATTACAGTGAAGTCAGATAATTCTTAAGTCGTTCAATTGCGTGTCTGTGTGTTTTCCTTCTTTCAAGACCATGCTTGATCCTCTATCGATTCATTTCAGTAACAATTAACATGATTTTTCGCTGGACGATAATTACCTTGATGGTTTGATTTATCAGCTTAATAACTCTTGAAGCAATATTTCATTGTAATTCGTCATTATATATATCTATTCTTATAGATATAAGCGATATATAATTACAATATTCATACTTTCTTAAGGATAAAATCGTAATTATTCAGACCAATTTTATGTAATGTCAGAGTGTGATAGATAATGTTATTGAAATATTATAGCTATCTATCAACGAAATGGTTATATCATTTAATTTATTTCGGTGTTTTAACAATTATGTTTGAATTTAATCGAAATTTTAAACAATGAAACAGTCTTATATTTAATTTAAAAAGTTTTTGCAACATTATTGTGTTGGAGTGGATAATTCAAAACTCGAAAATTAATAAAAACAAATCCAATAAAACTATCAATATTCAAAAGCATTGAATATTTGAAAGCATTCCTAAAAAAAAAGAATGACCTCGAATAAAATCTTGAAGTCTTCTATTCGATTTACAGACCCGAAGAGTTATTGAAATTCCTGTTTAATTTGAATGTAGATTAAATAGGAATTTCAATAACTCTTATTATATTTTCTATTTCTTATCTTTATTTCTCATACTTATTCTGATTATATTTATATAAAATATAGCCTATATATATAAGAATTTAAGTTATTTCGATTTTATTATCCGTTTGTGAAGTATTAATTATATATTTACAATCGGTTTTAAGTAAAAATATACAATTACTTTAAAATTATATATTAAAGTGATATAAAAAGTAGTAATTTAATAAAGAGAGATATAATATAAAATAATGATTAAGTCATTTGGATGACAATACGTATTGAAAGAGCATTGGTCAATAAATATTCGCCACAATCCTAATAATGAACTTAGAGAATACACAAACAGATGGCATCGCGATCGATGTTGACATCAATATTCTCTACTTTCTTCATTGAATTATCTGTATATAGATTCGGTTTGATCCTAAATTCAATATTGGACATTGAGAAAAATTTTTCCTATTTTTCCAATCTAATAATGTAATTAAATCTATGTTCTATAATTATAAATAATTTAATCATTTTTATTTTCAAAAATTCATACAGAATAATATATAATCCTTAATNGAGAAAGAGTAAGACAAATAACAATAATCTGTAAGGTGCTTACACTCGGTAATTAGCGATAATTAAAACTAATCAATTGAACGAGCGGACAAATAATAAATCCCGAATTATTTTGCTCCAAATGTTTCGCAATTTGAAAAAGAATCAGGTGAGTTACGACGTAAAGAAGAAGAAGAAGAAGAAGGAAAAAAAAAACAACTCACATTTGCTAATTAATAAAATGATCTTAAGATTATTTCAATCGACGATAATTAAAATGGTATCGTTATCATTGGAAGATTACTTCTGTTTCCATAAGGCCTTATACTCAGAGATAACGACGACGTCGCTATTTTTCCTCTTTTTTTCTGTTTATTGTGCTTCGGAAGTTTGTTCTGAGAAGTCCAACTTTGTTATCTCTTCAATGAGAGAAAGTGAAGAGAATGCCCTTAGGGTTTTGCAGCATACTCCAGATATTAGATTAGCAATCACGTTTTACGATTTCAATTGTTTGAGTAGCATTGAAATATTATTTACATTTCTTCTCTTGTTTCTTTCCGTTTATATAACACGTTCGGAGTGATTTCGTGACATTATTCTTCGTTCGTCACGCGACAACTCCAAAAAAAAAAAAAAGATTTGTGAATGAAAAATGATGACCCTTTTCTTATTTACGGAGCGCGAAGATAAATGGTAAACGACCTCAAAATGATAGATAAATAAATCTCGAATAATAATTTTATCTCTGTGTGAATATTTATTGTTTACGAGAGTGAAATTCCCATTCGATAATATCGATTTCTACGAGATAAGAAAAAAAAAGTGTAAATAGTAATATTTTTAATGTTGTAAAACGTTAACTTACGTGTTATAAAAGACGTAAGAATGACGTAATTTAGCGAATAATTTTAATTTTTGGAAAAGAAAGATGCGGACACACCTCGGCGCATGCTCTCATTGTTTCCGGAGTGGCCGAGATGGGATTCTGCTATTTTCCTCAGACGTCACACATTCGCATCCGTAGCGAGTGTCATCGCAGCTTCCAATGGTAAGTGCTTTTATAAAAGGGGTATTAGCTTACGAAACGATATTTTTGTACAATATTCTTACTCTAGATACCGAATAGTGGGAAGAAAAAAAAAATTAGAAAAGCGCACCTAATACGTATCTTAATATTTACGTTAATATATTTTTATATAAGTCAATGTCTTTCTTTAAAAATTTTTTTTTAAAGCTTCCTTTCGTCATTATGGCCTACCGTTTTCGTTTATTTCCATTCTTTGTATCGTCAAACCGCAAATGTTTGTGCCGAATTCTTTTCCGCATCAGTTGGCAGAAAAGATAAAAGTGAATGTCGTTTATGTAAAATATTTTTCGAATAAGATATCTTTAAGTAAAATTTCTCAGGTTTAAATCTTAAATTATTCTTCTAGTAAAATATATTTTTAACAATTTTTAAAGCGAAACGGGATTATATAAATGACAAAAACGCAATCGTTCTGGTTATTTGAGATAAAGGATTTCTTTTTTTTAAACTTATCTTTTGATAAATCTTAATGATTTTTTTTCTTTCTTTCTTTCAGTCGAATATAAAAAGAAATCAATGAAAATAACTAATAAATTCGTGTTTTTAAAAGTAAAAATAGCGATTTATCCATACGAAAATACAGTATTTTAATTACGAGATGAAATATTTCATATTTGATGACTTTCAAAACGTAATAAATTTGAGAATTCTTCATTAAATTGAATTACGTTCCGGAAAATTATCATTGATCATAAAAATTGATATTCTAAATCATTTAAAGCGCAACAAAATTTATTAACAATAATTTTAGAAAAGATGGCGAAGAGAATTAAAATGAGTTCAACTAAACTTTTGGCTTCTAAAATAAATAAATAAATAAAAATGAAAATAAATATTCTCTCTCTCTCTCCAGATATGGAAAAGGTAAAATAGTGAATATATTTAGATATATTTTTAGAAGATAAGGAATATATTTATGAAAATCTAAAGAGGAAAAAACTTAGAAAAGAGGGGAAAAAAATGAAAGGTATCTCCTCCATTTTTGACAGATAAGAAGAGCATCATCAATAACAGATTAGGTTATTGTAAAATGCCATTTAAAGAAAGCCCTTCTACCGATACTTTCACAAAGAATGACAAACGATCATTTTAGTGACCGTTGCCACCAGATGGTATTCAAACTGTTACTTAATATTTCCCTTCATAAAGTGCTCTTTCTAACTTACAACAATATGGACTTTCTTGCTCGATAATTCCTAAACTTCTCTTTAAAAATAGCATTTAGTTTCCGTGTCTCGCATATATTTTACTCAAATCCTTATAAATTTATACCGTATCCGGTATAAAATTCCATATTTTAAGAAAAGAAAGTAAGTTGCCAAACTAATTTTATATATATATAGGACTATACTAATTTCTAAATATTCATTTTGAAAGTAATTAAAGTGAATTTAATGCTGTATGATAGAGTAATGTGATTAATTACAGCGAAGAGAGAAAGAGTAAGACAAATAACAATAATCTGTAAGGTGCTTACACTCGGTAATTAGCGATAATTAAAACTAATCAATTGAACGAGCGGACAAATAATAAATCCCGAATTATTTTGCTCCAAATGTTTCGCAATTTGAAAAAGAATCAGGTGAGTTACGACGTAAAGAAGAAGAAGAAGAAGAAGGAAAAAAAAAACAACTCACATTTGCTAATTAATAAAATGATCTTAAGATTATTTCAATCGACGATAATTAAAATGGTATCGTTATCATTGGAAGATTACTTCTGTTTCCATAAGGCCTTATACTCAGAGATAACGACGACGTCGCTATTTTTCCTCTTTTTTTCTGTTTATTGTGCTTCGGAAGTTTGTTCTGAGAAGTCCAACTTTGTTATCTCTTCAATGAGAGAAAGTGAAGAGAATGCCCTTAGGGTTTTGCAGCACACTCCAGATATTAGATTAGCAATCACGTTTTACGATTTCAATTGTTTGAGTAGCATTGAAATATTATTTACATTTCTTCTCTTGTTTCTTTCCGTTTATATAACACGTTCGGAGTGATTTCGTGACATTATTCTTCGTTCGTCACGCGACAACTCCAAAAAAAAAAAAGATTTGNAAATATGGTAGGAATAATCACTTATTATAAATATAGTTTTTCAAATTATTTTACATAGAAAGCGGGATTTTCAGGAACGATCGTGTTTAGACGTTATTCATCAGAAAATGAATGAAGATTCCTACAAGTGTTGGAGATACAAAATTCGAGTAAAGTGAATAATTAATCCCGATTCAGTTTTGTGGACATCGGTACAGAAGATTAATTACTGAAGATCTTTGCTTTGCGCTAATTATCAAATCACTTGCTAGAACTGCAGTTGACAGCTTCTTTGATGACTTTGGCTTAGGCCATACTCGACCCGATTATTGATAGCTTCGTTTCATAATTAACAGAAATAATCTCAAATCAGATATTTTTTTTTCAAATAAAAGAGGCAAAAATTCCATATTTTGAGGTGGTTTTAATCAAATATATTTTGCTAGAAATTCTATTAAAGAATATTTATGTATAAACAGAAATAAGTTTAAACCGAATGTATATATTTATATCCTTCGTATACTAAACTTATATGATTTATTCATAGAAAATAAATAAATATAAAGATTTCCTTATTAATATCTTTGAAATAATGAGGAATTTTAAATAATTATTCGTTAATTACGTTCGAATGTTACGATATTGAAACGAATTTAATGTGGTTACGATTGAGACGAAATTAATTTTATAATTAAAAATGAATTAGTAAACACGTCGAGAGAATCGTAACGACGAATCACCAAATTGGAACAAATGAATCGCCTACGAAAGTTTCTTTGTAAACTTTCTTGTCGCAGCGAAAGTTTTTAAGAAATAAATTAGAAAAAAAAAATCGTATCTAAATAAGAATTTTTACCGAGTTTTTATCGTGAAGCAACAGCGAATGTTGTTACGTTGGCAATAAAATTTGCAGCGAGGTGACGAACGTAATTCTGGGGAAAATATCACCTTGTTCGGATATTCTCGACAATGTTCTCTCCACTAAGGGTGTGTCGACGTCGTTTCCTACGACGTAACTGGCATGGCAGAGATGAGTTATTTCTTCTTATCCAGAGCAACTCACCCGTATAAATGTCTTCTTCCTCCGGGCTTTACTATATAGGTCCTTTCATTCTTTCGCTTTCTGTAGAAACTGTGTTACATTCCCATCATTTACCAAACTACTGCTATTATAGTTAGCTGTCAGTGACGTAACAAACCATCTTTGTTTCTTCCAGTGTAAAAACTTTCTTCTCTTCTGATATACTTATATTTTATTACCGTATAAATTTAACTGTTGATACATAAAAAAAATCCTGTTTTGATATTTATAATAAATTTAACTGAAATACACCTATATAAATCTCAAATAATTTTATGTCATTCTTTCCTTCCACGCTTCATTTTATCTTTGTTTCTCCTATAAATGTTATGACTAACGTTGGGAAGTTTCCGTTTCGAATTTCGAAATGTGATTCCTATTTCGTGGCATTAGAAAGTCACTTTTAGATGCTTCCCTTTGACCACTTCATCTATTCCATATAAATTTAAACGTAACTTAAAAATCAGATATGATAATTCAGGTAAAATCTCTATTGACATTTAATAATTTATAGTAGACGGATTAGAATTTTTCAATCTGTAGATCGCGAGCCACCTTCTTAAATAAGGCAGGATTTTTCTTTATAAAAAAATCCTGCCCTATAATAAATGGTTGTAAAAACATTGTACAAGGTGTTTACTTTTCTTATATCACTTTAATTCTTTAACAGTTTTAAAGTTTTCTTTAAAGAATTTATCTTAGAATGTTACATTCTCGAGGGTTTATTTTCTGGTAAACAAAAATTGGTTTTTAGTCGCTTAGCAACCGAAAGTCCGATAACTATTATCAGTTGCGTAAGACGGGGAGGGAGAATTAATAAAGAGAACACAACAAATTCCTAATGGTATCACCAGAGTTACCGTTACTTCCTATGGAATGTGACGAAGTGAAGATCGACCGCGAGAGTTAAGTGTAGCACATAAAGTAAAACATGGTAAATTCGCGTTAAAATTTTTAAATTAAATCCATAAAAATGTTCATATTTTTTATCATTTTTACATCGTAAAATAATTTTAGTTTTATTTTTTACAGTTTTTTTTTCTTTTTGGCATTTTTTAATATAAACTTATTTATCGAGAATTTTATGGTTGTTAAATTATTTATTACAGATGACCTTACGCATTAAATTCTTGTTGGTAGCTTTCGTGTTGTTGCATCAAGTACAGAATGTCGAGTTAAAGAATGTTTCGGAGCATTTTCGAGAGTATTTATGGACAACCGGTATTTGATAATTTTCAATAGTTTTTTAAAATACAATTAATTTTTACGGAAAGAATAAGAATTTGATACTTTTATTTAGGTCCTTGGGAGGAATGTTATAGCGAAACGAATTGTGGATACGGAGAAAGAAAGAGAAACGTGTGGTGCGTAGAAGTTAATGGTTATCAATCTCTAGAAAGAAAATGTGACAACGAAAAAAAGCCAGTGGAAAGAGAACTTTGTTTTAAAGTTTGCCAAAAATATAAAAATTCCGTCAGGTAAGTCTCTTATATACATTTATACGAGAAAAGTTATGAATTCCAGGTGCATTTCATATTAATTTTATCTCTCCAGTCTGTATCAATTGATTTAAATTTATCTGTATTTATTAATTTGCAATTAGAAAGAATTATCCACGAAATAAAATAGTAACTGTAAAGATTTGAGATAGTAATCAAGTAATTTTATAACAAATTTTAACTGTTATAGACGAAATATATACTTTAGAAATAATACAATGAGATAGCGTGAAAGCTAAAATGTTTAATCATTAAAATTTAATTAAGAGAAATTTAAAGAATAAACTTCTAAGAAAATATAAGAATTAGATTCTTTATCTCCATTGAAAATTATAGTTTATTATTTATGCATTATTAATTTATGTATTGAATAATTGATTTATGTGCATTGGTCTTGAAAATTCTTCGGTGTTAATAAAAAAAAAAATGTTTATAACTCATTTAAAAATGACAAAATTTATACGATTATTATTGTTAGTATTTATAATTAACAAAGAGTCGTTTATAAACTGAAAAGATGATTTCAAGTGGGCTAAAACGAAGAGTAAAATATAACATAAGTTAATTTAAAAATTACTTAGAATAATTAATAATTAGAATTATTATTTAAGAATTCATTTTTAGGTGGAAGATTGGAAAGTGGAGCGATTGTCTGTCGTCTAACAGCTCTAGATATTGCGAAGAGGGTCCAGGGAGGAAGACTAGAAAAGTGGTTTGCATTCACAAGAGTAGACACGAAGGAAAGTATCTAGGAACTCTTCCAGACGAAGTTTGTTCTTCTTTCTATCTAAAGCCAATAACAGAAAAAAGATGCATCACGAGATGCCCTCAAAACTGTGTTGTTTCGGCATTCGGAGAATGGTCAGAATGCAAAGTGTGTGGTTCGGTCAATCGCACTAGAATTAGGACTGTGTTGGTGGCTCCAGAAGAGGGAGGCCGATTTTGTCCTCCTCTGATTCAATCGGAACCATGCGAACACCGAAGAGAATGCTTAAAACAAGTAGGTTCCGATCGAGAATATTCTCTGAAATTAGGCAGATGGAGTGCCTGCCTTTCCAAGACAAGTGAAAACAGAAACTCTTCTTCAAATGTGCCGAGGGTAGGATTTAGAACAAGAAACGTATCTTGTATCGATGGCTTTGGACAGGACGTCCATTTGAGGTAAATTCTTATTAATCATTTTAATTGAATAAATTTTTAGAGTGGAAAGTGAACTTTATCCTGAATTAATTTAGAATACATCAAACAATTTTAATTCTAAAAATTTTGAAGCCTCTTAACACCCATGACGAAATTCAATGTTTTTCTAATATAGAAATGACTTTCTCAGAAAAGATTTTGTTACTTAAAATTTTGTTAAATTTGTTACTAAAGATCAGACTACTAAGTCAACGCTGTGATCAAAGTAATTGTTATATAGAAACTGATGGATTATTTACTATAAAGATGCATCGATATATCCAAATATTAAGTGTTTGCAGAAGAGTTACAATACAAATTTCCATTTTATTGCGCTGCAATTTGAAAAAATTTGTAGACCCTATAAATTTCCAGTTGTTTGTTTCTCTGTCTGTCTGTCTGTCCCTTCTTAATCTCGAGAACGGTGTTACACAGATGAAAGCGAAGATCAGATATGAAAAGCTTAGGGAAAGAGGTCCCAATTAATCATATACGAACTTCCGATTTATACCAAAAGTTACACGATTTCAATTTAAAAAGTTCCCCTAAACGGAATTACATAGATGACCGTTATGACTCTGTTGTTATTAGGAAAAGTCTGATTTACAGGGGCAAGACATTACTAACTTGAGATGGAGAATATATATTTTTTAAATTAAAGCAAGAATTTTACGAATTTTAATTGAACAAACGGTCGTGGTATTGTAAAAACAGATAAACAATTACTACTATCCGATTGGAAATTACTTAAACCAATACGCCTTTCCTTCTTTAATTCGTACAGGTAATGGTAATTAAATATTTAGACGTTTTCCTTAATATGTTAATTATTGATTCATGAATACAAATTTACGTTCACTTCTCCACAAAATTCGTTTAATTCGTAAAATTAGTTTAGGTGCAAGAGAGTCGATGCTATCAGCAGTTTCTTAATTAGAAAGTACGGTGAGATGAAACTACTATTTTCGTTAAAAGTAAATAATAAATAAATAATAAATAATATTATTTACTTTTGACGAAAAAAATTATAAAAATTCCCTTATATTTCTTATTATCTTAAAATCTAATTATAATATTATTAATACAATTCTATATCCAGAGCAACTCACCCGTATAAATGTCTTCTTCCTCCGGGCTTTACTATATAGGTCCTTTCATTCTTTCGCTTTCTGTAGAAACTGTGTTACATTCCCATCATTTACCAAACTACTGCTATTATAGTTAGCTGTCAGTGACGTAACAAACCATCTTTGTTTCTTCCAGTGTAAAAACTTTCTTCTCTTCTGATATACTTATATTTTATTACCGTATAAATTTAACTGTTGATACATAAAAAAAATCCTATTTTGATATTTATAATAAATTTAACTGAAATACACCTATATAAATCTCAAATAATTTTATGTCATTCTTTCCTTCCACGCTTCATTTTATCTTTGTTTCTCCTATAAATGTTATGACTAACGTTGGGAAGTTT